CATTCTACGATTATATTTTATGTTTATCATTTTTTTTGAGTCAGGAGTAGTAATTTGAATTTTGTTAAAATTTAGTGGTTGGGACTAGGTTGTATGCACTGTACGAATATAATAAAAATGGTTTTAAGTACCGATCTGCAAAATCATATATTTAAAATGATTTCTATAATTTCTTTTTATAAATTTATTATTTAAAAAGTCATAAATGTGTCGCTGTAACAAGTTTAAAAAGTTAATTTTCAAGAATTTTTCTTCACATCTCGGTATGGTCCTCAAGTCGTCGTTTCCAAAACATTTCATTATTCCACCTCTGCTCTTTATTATAAAAAAATCTTTTCTCTCTCACGTATCTTTGAAACGTGTTCTCAATGTATTTCAGATAGACCTCCAAGGGTTGAATAATTTTTCCTTCATTTTTCGTCCCTCCGTTAAAGTATTGGAAAAATATTGCCTCCGCTCCAAGTTTGGCACTAGACATAGCGGTTAACATTCCTTGGGAAGAAAGCGGATCAAAAGAAATGGCGCTGTCTCCAATCACTATCCACCGATTTTCATAGGAGGCTGATTTGAAATCAAGTTTATGTTGAATATTAATTCTATTTGATGCATGATAAAATTTAGGTACTCTACCAAATTGAGAAAGCCTTGCCGAATTTGCAGGCATGCAAATAACTCTTTTTCCAATGGGACGATACAAATGTTCGCTTATGTACTTTGCAGTGTGCGCAGCGGTTTCCTTCATGAATTCATCAAATTCATCAACTAGTCTGATCTTTCTATTAATTTGGTGGAGTAGATCGTCGTCTGTATGAAAAACCACAATACGTTGCTTGCTAGGCAATAAACTAGTATACCACCATCCGAAAGCGCAGGATTCCACGAGGGTACGATGGTCCAAATTCGTCGAATGAATCTTGCTTGAATTATTATCATAATCAGTTTCGTATAGACATACAAAAGCTAACAGCTTGTCGAAGGAGCAGCGCTTTAATTCTGGCAAACTTTTTCTAATACAGCAACGACGACCACTTGCATCGATGAGGATATTCCCGTAGATTTGATTTGTATGAGATGATTCTATAGGGAGCGGATGCATTTGATGATTTTAACTTTTTGATAGTACCACACTATTACAAGTTAAATAATAAATAGTCTTACCAACATTTGTAACTGTAACCTTCCAACATTTATCTCTTTGATCAATATCTTTGGAGATATATAAATCAATCACCTTGGAGCCACGCATAATTGTAATGAATTGACTATGTTGTAACATGGCTATTTTAAGTAGCGTTTCTTCAAATAAACGCCTGTCCAAATGAAATCCATCACCATACGCATTAAATATTGTATCGGTACCGATCAAATCATCAGACCCCCATGCAGAAGAGTTTCCGTGACAAAAATGATGTTTCCCTTGAATCGTAAAATAGGTATTTTATAAAAGTTCTGGAATTGCTTTCGTGAATCAATTGATCATATATCAATACCTTCCATTGCATCGTTATTTACGTCATCAAGTACACCCAACGACTGAAGCGTAGGCTTTGCTTCTCCAGGTAAAGACTCTCCAACTTTAAACATTTCTACATTCATAGTTCTCTCGTCGATAACAAGAATTTTACGCCAACTAGCGACGGCAGAATTGAACAATTGGGCTAGTCTTATTGCAGCGCATGATCCTGCAACACCACCGCCAATAACAATAATATCAAAAGGTTGATTCGGTTGCTTGGTATTCATTTTATAATTTGATTTATAAAGTTACCCTCGTAAAAATGTTTACAAAAGATAGAAAGTTAGACAAAATATACCAAAAAATAGTGCATTTAAGATTTACAGCGTTGCATCTTGCAGAGCTTGCATGCATCCAACATGCATAATCTATTTGTTCCTCAAAATCAATGATTTAATTAGTTCATATAAAGCAATAGATTATGTGATATTCTTTCTTACAATGAACAAAAAATTTTTTACATCTAAAAAAAATCTACTTATTACAAATGAATTTCTTGATAACAACCTGTTACTTAAAAATTTCATGGGAACTCATATATCTCAACATTGTACATTAAATTTTAACCTAAATCACTATATATTCTCACCAAAAAAGATGAAGTCCACCTCAAATATTCAATCTCATTCAATTCATAATGAGCGATAAGGAGCTTGAAGTGGATTACAACAAGATAGAATCGTTTGCAATTTTTCCACCTCTTAACGTTGCACGAATTGGCAACTCCGACGATTATTATGTGGGAGCCGAAATCCCTGGCGTGCATGTCGGAGGTAAGCTGGGAGGAGAATCGTCGAAGTTATAATTATAGCTAGTCTGAGACATTAACCTTGCTGCTTACTTTGCTATCGAAATACAGAGGGTGATCCTTCTTTCGAATTTAAAGATGACAAGCAATGTGTGAGACCACAAGCCGCAAGGTTCAGAATCTATGGTTGCGATGAAAATGGCAATGTTGTGCGAGAGATCAAGCTTACAGACAAAAATAATTCCGTGGATGTGAATATTGATTGGAACGTTGTGCTTGCTAATAAGAAGGCAGAACACACGCAATTCCAGGGTATCAATGAATATAAACCTGATGGTCCTAAGCGAAATGCTGGTTTGTAATTTTGGCAAAACATTGATTATCATAACTGTGCCAAATTATCTAAAATTTGCCAACCATCTGCAGATTGGCCGTATGATAGGTCTACATTGATGGCCATTAGTGAACAAAGTTTATCATCCAATGATTTGAAGAATACAAAAATTCCGACAAAAGAATTCAAGGCGCAAGTTTATCGCACGAATGATCCTAAAAGTGGCCATGAATTATACTTGGGAAAGATGATACTGGAGCAAGAAGGAAGTTTGATAATTATTGGTGGAAAGGGAAAGTCTGGAAGTATCAAAGAAGGTTGTATAGTATATCTTCGTATTTACAGAAGATTTGCTCGAATCAATGACTCATGTTACATTGTTATCTCCACAGGTGCATATATTACACATTACGCGAACAATGATTATTGGTATGATGACACTTCTGATGGATCCATAGACGCTAATGTTACCATCACCGTTAATAAACAATCCAAAAAACTCAAGAATAGAGGTAACGTTTGTTGTATACCGTAAAAATTAAATCATATAATTCGTGAAATTAATTGCATTTAAACTAATAATTAGAGGGAAAATCATGGGTTCTTGTGGCACCTCCAAAATATGCACCGGGTATTCCAAATATCGTGTCATTATATCAAATTATTTGGGAAACGCAGCATCCAAATGATCATAGAGAGGTACAGTATAATTAATACTTGAGTTACTTGGTAGAAAATTGATTGGGCTATGAAAGGTCATTCATATGGCCTTGCAATACTTTGCATAGGTGGAATATTATCGTGACATTCGCCCAATATTTGACGCAATCTGCAGAATCTCTTGGGTTAATAAGCAGGCTTTCATTGGTCACGGAATCTACAAGCCAGGTCACTTTTTAAATCCTGACATGGAAAAACGTCTGAAAGATAATTCAGAACAAGAGGAGAGCCTGAGGTTGGTTCTTTTTTCCTGACATTATGGATTGCTTGATTTACCTAACGATATGTTTGTTCCATTGTCGACGAACAGGAAAGGCATTTTAGCCCGAATTCGAATACCGAAAGCTATTGCATCCGCAGCTGAATATAACGGTCAGGCTTATGATTATTTTATGCCAGCTTTGTCTGGTAATGACGGAGATGTCGACGCTAGCTCACCAAATACGTTTTTTTCCGTTACTAGTGGACAATACCTGTAAGTTACATTGGCTTCTGAATCAACTAACTTTAAATTAACGATTTATTTTCCGTTAGCCGCCTACAAAAGTGGGCTGAAGGTTCTTTTCAAGTGAATGAACAAAACAAACCTGTCAAGTATTTCTATCAGTTTGATAGTAAAGGAAGAGGCAGATACCCCAAGTATAAAAATATTAATGGTAAGAGCGATAAAAAAGAAGATTACAAAGAGTTTGAAGAAATTATTACAGAAGCTTCTCTTCAAGTTGAATGTCTTAAAAAAGCCTCACTTGAATGGTGCGTTGGAGGAGCATTCTTTCCTGGAATTGAAATGACCTTTATTGCTTACAATAAGGAAACATTTGATGAACATGACTTTAGGTATATTAACTGACTTACTTGAAGAATTTTTATTTTGTGTGGATAATAACATTTCTTTCATTTGGACAGAATTAACTCCAAAGCCATCAAACCCGGTGATATTAACGCATACATGGCTTTACCTTGGCAAGCCGATTTTAATGAATGCAACACAAATTGGTGGCCAGCTCAAAGACCCGATGTCATAATCACACAAAAAAATCTGGTAATTTTGAAATTGATTCAATCTCACTTATGTTTCTAAATAGAATAACGATTTTTTTGACCGCAGTATGAAATTATGAGGAGAGAGAATAATAAAATTCGTGCTAATGACTTTAAAGAATGGACTCGTGGATTCAGAACGGATGGTGGTTCAGTTGGAGCTCCTTTGTGGGGTGATATGGATATGGTCAGAGCATGGGATAGGTAAATTCAAAATCTTATGCATCATCGCTCTATGCCTCCGGCCTATTATAATTTACTTTTGTACCTTTCAGGCTAGGATTTGTTGTTGAGAAGGAGATCGATAATGGTATAAAATTATTTACCGAGGTCGAACATGATAAAGTTTACAAAGAAACTACCGTTAAAGAGATAGTGGAAAACGCGACCTTAGATGACGTGAGTTTGCCTTTAAAGCTTTTTTATTATTTTTCATTGTTTAACGTTTATATTTTCCTTACCATTTTCTAACAGTTTTACGAGCTCCTTCAACTCGCATTACAAATTGAACTCACCACTATCCCACCATACTTATACGCTATGTACTCGATCAAGACAGGAACGGAGATTGGTGATAAATTAAAACACTTAATTCGACATGTTTCCGAAGAGGAAATGTTGCACGCGGCCCTTGTAGCAAATCTTATTGTTTCAATTGGTATGCATAGAAAAGTATTTTACTTAATATGCATTTTTGATTAATTAATAGCTCATGGCGAAATTTCGCTCAATACATAGGACGCAAACCTATATTCTATTCACGAGAAGCGATTCCCCTCTACCCGAATCCTTTGCCCCATATTAAGCAAGGTAAAGTTTATTGATAAGTCATTCATGAAAGCATGTTTACCATATTATTTCCGAGATGAAACTCAGATCAGCTTATGAAAAATTTTTAAAATTATAGGCGAAATTATGGTTCACTTGTCGAAAGCAGATGTAAAAACTATCAATACTTTTATACAAATTGAGGCACCCGACGTTCAAGATAAATACCCGCATTCTATACCCCAAAAAGCGCGCAATCCGTTATTACGCTTAGGATTTCTCAGTATTTATGAATTCTATGCCATTTTTCTCAAATCATTAACAGACTGCATTATTAATATTGTAAGTTTACGATATATCATAACCTTTCAATTATTTGTTAGAAATGTTAGGTAAAGAAGCAGGAAATGTAGATAGCTCGGAAGACGATCTTGACAGTATAGGAAATTTATATGATGCAATCGCAGAATGTTTTAAAAAATTTAATGATCAAATAAAATATGACACGAAATTTCAGGTAATTAGATCTTTCCATTAAAGAATTCAAATTAATATGAGGTTATCATTTAATCTCTTACAGAAGTATTATGAATGTAGCTTGAACCTGGTATGGGCTACGCTCCAAGCACGGGCACAGGAAAAGATGGATTGATCATCATTGATGATTTAAAAGCTGCAGAGTATGCTATTAATTTAATTAAAATTCAGGTATGGTATTTTCAATAGTTATGTTGTTTATTGAATATTATTTTTTCTGCAACTTTATGCGCTTTCAATTATTAAATAGGGAGAAGGATCAGTATCTGAATTCGAAGCTTCTCATTACGAAACATTCAAAAAATGCTTGAATTTGATCAAAAATGCTTCAAGTGAAGATTATCAGTTATGGCCTGTTATTACCGATCCAGACAAATCGTAAGTGAAATTTTTCCTTCAGGTTTCTCTTTATATGAAGAAAGTTTGGTATTCCCTTTTCTTACGCTTTGGTACACCTTTTCCATCACTCTTAATTAGGATGTTTCCTGATTCAATCGTATCCATTGCTAAAGCCTTTGATGCCGCTTATTGTTATCTGATGTTAATGTTACAGAATGTTTGGAGAATCGAAAATTCCCAGAAAAAAAGAGACTTTGTGATGGGAGGATTGCCGGCAATGATGCTTGGTGTTTTGAGGCCTATTGCGATATCTCTCGCCAGTATGTATCTGCGATTCTGATCGGTAAAACATCCTTTTTAACTTAACTTACACGTTCATTAAATTCCACCTTCAACTAATAGAAACCCCCATTTCCGCTGACCAACACGCGGGAGCCACATTTGGCTATTACGAATTTACTCATGGAACGTCCAAGCCAAAACAACAACTGCTTAATGTTGTTAAGGCATCCAACTTAGATGGAGTATTGAAGGTGGTACAGACGTTACCTGATGTAATTCTGGATTAAAAGCAAAACTTTAACAAGTAAATGTTCATGTATAAAGATTTTATATTGTTATAAACGTTCTACTTTAAAGGGTGATCTTTGAAATAAAAGATAGTTATTTGTCAATGTTACCTTTTTATTATTTTATAACCTAATTAAAAAAATGAAAAGTTTTCTTTTGGTTAATAATAACGGTCAATTTTAATGGGCATAATAAAATATTTATCACGTGAATTTATGTAAAAAATAGTATGGTTCGTATGGATGTCGTTTTAGAGAAGCTTGACAATTTTCCATTAAAAAATCTCTGAAATAGTTTAAATAAATGTAAACGTTTGCAATCAATTAATACCTGTTATTTATTCTTTAATGTTATTCGTGTACAAAAAATTTGATCGTCAATGAAGTCCTACATCTTTTTCATTATATGAAAGTTCAGATTCAGGATTAACGATTAGTAAACTAATTAATAAATACCAGTCTAAACTTTTTTTGAACAGATAATCTTTATTCAAAAATTGCTCTAATTCAGCAAGATATTTTTGCTGCCTCCTTTCTACAATATTTTTGACGTCTACAACTTCTATCGCTACACGACTAGCATGCTTGGGATCATTGTTCTGGTTGAAATTGCTTACAGATAAGTGATTTCAAAAATTTTAATATAAATAGGTTCCCATCATTATTGGTATTAGACCTGGAATTATACCGAAACTAAGCTAACAAACTAAATATCTTAAAATCTTAATTATCTCAAAGGCCTTTCCTAAAAGAAATTAATGATTAACAAATAAATATAGGTTATTACATAGCAAAAAGGGCTTAGAGACAAATATTTTATTTATTATATATTAGTATTTAATCAATTTTTGACATTTGTGATAAAAATATAAAAATTATATAGGTAAATTAGTATGTATCAATCAAACAGAGTCATAAAGAACAAATAATTAGCCAGATATTAAGACAAAATTATATTAGACAAAATTAAATCAAAAATAAGGGATAAATAATTAAACAATTATAAATCATTTGATATCAACAATGAATCACATGACAAGTAATATAGAAATGATACAAAAATAAATAGAAAATGTGATATAAAATAGATAGTAATACAATATATGAAATATGATAAATCATATGATAAATGTTGATAAATATAATACAGATCAAAAATTAATCATATCTGAAAAATAAATAGCCAAAATCACAAAAAAAAAGAAAATAATTAATAAACTCTTAAAATAAATAAAGAAAAATAAGACAATTTATAAATATACATAAAGATTACACAAAAGTTTAAATAAAAGAAATCAATGAACTGAGATTATAGAATACTGTATAACTTATATTACTAAAAATGAAAATATTGAAAAAATGAAAAATACAAATATATATATGAATATGAAGGAAAAATAAAATTCATTATGAGAAACTAAAGAAATATAAAAAAATGAAAATTAATTATTAAAAACTAAAAAAAAAATATTTAAAAATAGAAATGATGTAATAATGATATTATAAGAATATATAATAAGAATACATAATAATCTTTAAAATAATGAAGAAGGATCATAAAAAATAATGAAAGAAGATTTGAAAAAAAAATAGAAAATAAAGTAGAAACAAAAGTTGGAAATAAATTAGAATTTATATTATCTTAATAAAATCTAAAAATAGATATAACGTAACATTAAAAAGTTAATAAAAAATAATGTAATATAAAAAAATATTAATGAAAAATAATATAATATTAGAAAATATTAAGAAAAATAGAAATAGAAAACATTATTAAAATAAAAAAGAATTAAAAATTATCAGTAAAAAGAATTGAAATTAGAATTAATAATAAAAGAAATAGAAATTAGAAATTTTAAGAAAAGAATAAGAAATAGAGAAAAATTCTACAAATTGATCAATAATAAAATTTTTTATAAATAAAGATAGAATTTTATTATTTAAATCAATTAATCATGTAAAAGTAACTTTATAATTAATAAAGAGAAATTTATATATAAATTTAATATTTAGAAAGAAATAATAGGTTCGTTCTAATTTTTAATATAATTATTAATTTATAAAATAATATTTTTATATAATATATTTTATTACAAATTGTTTTTTATTAATATATAAATACAATAATAAAATATTAAAAATCTCTTTGATATGTTAAAATCAATGATAAGATGATAAGTATCTTTTTGATATATTATACATATTTAGTAAATTTATAAAACTTTACTTAAAAATAAAATAAATCAAGATAGGATATAATAAAATTAAACTAAAGATAAATAAATAAATAATAGAAATAGTATAATTGTTAATAGATTCAAAGAAAAACTAATAATGAATCCATTTGAATAGAAAATAAGAATTATAATAGGAAGAAATAATATGAATAATGAATTAAAAGATAAACTGAAGGTTGCTTATTTAAACTCATTTTAAATTTGGCAAAACATTTAAACTATAGATTTGCTAATTTTTTACTAAAATTTTGATATAGTTTTGAATTTTTATAAGCTTTGATATAGTTTTAACTTTTCAGAATTTTGCATATTTTTTAATAAGATTTTAATATAATTTTGTTAAATTTTACCTTTTTTTTATTTAGATAACTTGTAAAACCTCCAGATTTCATCTAACAATATTAGATGAACTTAAAATAATCAAATAAAAGATTAAAAATAAATTTAAAAAAATAGAATAAAAATTAAAATAAGAATATAATAAAATAAATGAAAAATATTATAATAAAATATAGAAGAAAACACATATTAATTATATAAAGAATTAAAATTAGAATAATTACTTTAGATAATAATATGAATAATAAAGAAGAATGATAGTTATATAAAGAAGAAAAATAGATTTTATAGAGAAAAATTATATGAATCTTAATTGCAAATATTGATAAATAATAAAAATGTAGATGAAAAAATATTTTAATAAATAAAAAAAATAGTTAAATTAATTATAAAAAGAAAAAAATTTGAAATAATAAAAATATGAGTAAATTTATTCTTCATCTTGGGTGATATAAATTATTTTTCACCCCTTATAATTTTTTTTGTATGCATTTTTTATTAGCAATAATTATTATAAAAAAAATAGCATTTATCAATATTTATTATTTAAATTTTATACCAAATAAATGTAACAATTAAAACCAAAATATTGCAAATATACTATTACTATAAGATTAATACAATCTTATGCTATTACTAAGTGAAACTAATAAAATAACACTTTGATCTTGCACTATAAATATGTGATTAAGTATTGTAACCTAACTTTTAGAACAAGTTAAAAATGGTCCCCATAATTATTTTCAAATTTCAATTGAATTGCAACTTAATTGCGCCATAAGAAAATTTAATTGCGTCACAAGTTGCAACTCAATTGCACCATTTTTTTCAATTACAGTAACCATCTTTAGAACAAGTGCTAAGATAATGACCATATTTCCCATATGAGCCACATTTATGATATTTATCAGATATTGCTTATTTGTCTTCACCTTTGCCTTTTGAATCTAATTTTTCAACAGATGGCTTCAACCATTTTATTAGTGATCTTCCTTTAGGCTAATGCTTTAATGGATCTAAGATTTAATTAGAATTGATCAATACTTCTTTTGTATATAAAGAACCTGATTGTCATTTATTTTTCTATTCGCTAAAACTTTTTATTGCTTAATTAATTCTTCTTGAATTAGTTGAGCTTCTTTTCTTTATTAAAATTCTTAATAAACTGAATCAGTTCTTCATCATCATCTTAAATTGCAAATTGAATTGCTTTTTTAGCTTCGCCTATTAGAATACTAAGTTTTAATTGATTTTGTGATATTTGCTTGAAATACCTTTTTGAAAGATCATTTATGATATATTTTTGGGCAAATTCTAAAGTGATTTGCGTACCATTTTGATCATTTTGGCTATTACTTATAATTGTTACACTAGAACAGGTATTGCTTGAATTGATATATTTATCCTTATACTAACGCTTAGGAATCAATATTAAATGAAAACATGCATTAGAAAATTCAACAAATACTTTAAAGAAATATCTGCATATAATACTATGAGTGATAAGCATAAAACAAGTGCATAAGTATTCTCCAATATTAAGTAAAATTACATGTTAATAGCATTTCGAGTAATTGTATTGAGAAACCTTCCAAACTTCTAAAATATTGTTAAAACTAACCATCAAAATCAAGACTTCAAGTTAAGCTCCCGATCCTCATCAGTTTCAATAAGAGATTTAGCAGAATCTTCTACTTTATCAAAGAAAGATTTAAATGAACTATCATTTGATACTAGAATTTCAGAAAATTATACTTGATATGCATGATAACATACAGATTGACACATTTGTTTATAATATGCATTGTGAATTAGCTATATGAGATATTTATTTATGATACTATTAATGCTACTAAAAAATATTTGTATGATAAAAGATTGTGTGTATCATAATATTAAAGTTTTTCAGATTGAATAACGATTATTAATTGATTCAAATTCCAATCAATTTTCAAGAGATTCTTGAACTTGTAAGAGAGAGAAACTTAACTGTAAGGCCTTTTTTATTAATACATTTTCTGATTCCACACACTGTGTAAATTGCATTTCTGCAGTAAAATGTTGTAATGTAAAGTATTTTACCCAAGTATACTTTCAATTTAATAGCATTGTGATTATATATTTGCTTTCCGCCTCATATTTTTTAACTATCCCTTTGGTTCATTTTTCAAATACATTTTCACAATAAGAGCGTTAAATTCCTTTAAAATCTTTAAGGAATTCCTGATAAAGTAATGATCCTAAATATGAACAAAGGTTTTTGGAAGATTTTGATAGAGATAGTATAAACATTGCATATGATGAGTCTCTGAAAATATTATATAAATGGCTGCAATCATTGCGGGATCAGCATCAGTAACAAATATTAATGGAATGCTTCAAGATGATATCGAAGTAACTATTCATATGATTCTTGTTTTTATC